CTTACTAAGCTATTCAACTACTCAATCCAGAAATGAAATCCCTTTGAAAAATAGTACAAATGCACCTCAAATATGCCCTGACTGGTACACTTTGCTCCTCCGTACACTTTTCTACTCAAAGTATGAGTGGTAGAGTAGCAGGATTGTCCTCACCTGGGAGCTTGTTAGAAACGCAGAATCTCAGGCACTATCTCAGACCTAATGAGGCAAAATGTGCATTTTAACAAGATTCTTAGGTGATATGAAATGCACAGCAAAGCTTGAGAAGCACTGATCAAAGGTCCAGCCCCTGACTCTAAGAAACCTGTTGTGGTTATCTATTACTGCATAATAGACTACCACAAAATCCTGTGATATACAAAGACAATATTATTCTATCTCATGATTTTATGGGTCAGGACTCACCTCAGCTGGGTGGCTTAAATGTCTGAAAATGGGGTATGGAACCACAAAAGACCTCAAACAGCCAAAACAATCTTGAAAAGGAACAAAACTGGAGGTGTCACAAACCCAGATTTCAAGATATACTACAAAGCTGTAGTAATCAAAATAGTATGGTACTTGCACAAAAATAGACATACAGATCAATATGCAGAATCAAGAGCCCAGAAATAAACCCACAATTATAGGGCCAATTGATCTTCAACAAGGGGGTGAGATTATGCAATGGGAAAAAGACAGTGTCTTCAACAAATGGTGTTGGGAAAACGGGACAGCTACATGCAAAAGAATGAAACTGGACCACTTTTTTATACCATACACAAAAATAAACTCAAAATGGATTACGAGCCTAAATGTGAGACCTGAAACCATAAAAATCCTAGAAGAGAACACAGGCAGTGATTTCTCTGCCATTGGCCAAGGCCATAGCGACATTTTTCTAGATATGTCTCCTGAGGCAAGGGAAACAAAAGCAAAAATAAACTGTTGGGACTACATCAAAATGAAAGCTTCTATACAACTAATGAACACACACGAAAAACTAATGGTGTACTATATGTTGCCTAATTGAATTTAAATAAAAATTTTTTAAAAATTCTGAAAAAAAAAAGCTTTTGCACAGCAAAGGAAACAGTCAACAAAACTAAAAGGCAACCTGCCAAATGGGAGAAGATATTTGCAAATGACATATCTGATAAAGAATTAGTATTCAAAATATGTAAAGAACTTATACAACTCAACACACACATACAAACAAATGATCCAATTTAAAAATGGGCAGAAGAGAGATGCCTGGCTGGCTCAGTCAGTACAGCATGTGACTCTTGATCTCAGGGTTGTAAGTTCAAGCCCCACATTGGGTATAGAGATTACTTAAAAATAAAAAATCTTAAACAAAAAAGGGGCAGAAGACACGAACAGACATTTCTCCAGAGAAGACATCCAGATGACCAACCGACACATGAAAAGATGCTCAACATCACTCATCATCAGGGAAGTGCAAATCAAAACCATGATGAGATATCACCTCACACCTGTCAGAAGGGCCAAAATCAAAAACACAAGAAACAACAAGTATTGGCAGGAATGTGGGGAACAAGGAACCCTTGTGCACTGCTGGTGGGAATGCAAACTCCTGTAGCCACTATGGAAAATAGTATGGAGGTTTCTCAAAAAATTAAAAATAGAACTACCATATGGTCCTGTAATTTCACTACTGGGTATTTGTCCGAAGAATACAAAAACACGAATTGAAAAACATATATGCACCCCTATGATTATTGCAACATTATTTACAATAGCCAATATATGGAAGCAACCCAAGTGTCCATTGATTGATGAATGGATAAAGAAGTGGTGTATATATATATATATATATATATATATACACACACACACACACACAGTGGAATATTACTCGGCCATAGAAAAGAATAAAATCTTGCCATCTGCAACAACATGGATGGATCTAAGAGTATACTGTTAAGTGAAATAATTCAGTCAGAGAAAGACAAATACCGTATGATTTCACTCATATGTGGAATTTAAGGAACAAAGAAAAAAAGAGACAAACCCAAAAAACAGACTCTTAACTATAGAGAACAAACTGTTGCTTACTAGAGGGGAGGTGGGTAGAGGGAATGGGTGAAATAGGTGAAGGGCATTAAGAGTACACTTAATCATGAGCACTGAATAATGTGTAGAATTGTTGAATCATTATATTATACACCTGAAACAATATACTACCATATGTTAACTATATTAGAATTAAAATTGAAAAAATAAATGTAAAAAAATCATGGAAAAAAGAGAAAAAAAGTCTGAATATGGGTGAGACAGCTCAACTACATCCATATGTCTGGGACTTCCCTTCTTCTCCATGTGGCATATGCTGGGGCTAGAATGTCCAATATGGTGCCTTCATTGGAATGATTGGCACTTGCACTGAAATGGGTGGAAGCTGGGGGCTGAAAAGCATCACTCTGTTTCCACACAAGGTAGTCTTGGGAAAGTCAAACTTCTTACACAGTATCTGGTTTTCCTTAGAAAAGGTTCCAAGAGATAGGAGGTAGAGGCTGCCAGTTTCTTAAAGCCTGGACTTGGAAACTGGCCCATCCTCATCTTGGTCCTGGAGTTGCAGAGCCCACCTAATTCAAGCGGAGAGGACATCAACCCCAACTCTCGATGGAAGAAGAATGTGTGGCAAACTGTAGCCTACCATAGGGCTTACTAACTGCACATGGGAATCGCTAAGGGTTGTGAAGTACCTTGAGCCGGTCCATGATCAAAGGGCCAGATTGTGAGGTCTAAATTGTCAGTAAAATATGACTTGAGAAAAAGGGAGATTGCCTGGAAAAGCCTTTACAGGAGGAGATGGGGTTCAAATTGGTCTTGGAAGTGAGAGTAGGGACTGGACAAGCAGAAAGAAAGGGAAAGGGCATTCCAGAGTAACTTGTAGATCTACCATAGCCTAAGGCTAGTTTGGTTTTTTTGCCCCACAACCCAACCCACCCTGGGCCTTAGGTTTCCATCACATACTATAAGAATAGTCACGTTGTGTCTTCCCATGGCAACTTTACGTATAAATTTACAAAGCAGAAACAGGTTTTCAGATTAAAGTTTCCAAAGAAATCTGAAATTTGGGGGCACCGGGGTGGCTCAGTGGTTAAGTGTCTGCCTTCAGCTCAGGTCATGATCCTGGGGTCCTGGGATGGAGCCCACATAGGGCTCCCTGCTCAGTAGGAAGCCTGCTTCTCCCTCTCCCTCTGCAGCTCCCCCTGCTTATGCACTCTCTCTCTCTCTCTGTGTCAAATAAATAAATAAAATCTTTTTTAAAAAGAAAAACAAAAAGAAATCTAAAATTTGGCACAGGCTCACCTCCATGCTGAGTATTCAGAGAATCAGCAGCTTTGAACTACATCTGAAAGAGTGAGTTGCTCAAATCTGAGTAATTTTCTGTCTAGAAAGGATAGATAATTTTAGACTTTGATTTTCCTCTGCTCTAACTGAAAATATTTAGCTATTCTATAGGAAACCCAACCCCTAGTACGACCCTTGGATACAGAGAAGAAGCCAGAAATATATGTGCAGATAAGTTAATTTTTGAAAATCAGGAAACCAATTAAACATAAAGTAGGATCCTAATTATATGAAGAATAAATATAGATAGATTAAATATTGGAAGAAGAAATGGCGAAATGTTCACTGATTATTTGAGTATAAAAATGTGCATGACTTTTTCCTCTTTTCCATATTTCAGTCAGTTTTCCACAATGCATATGTGTTATTTTCATAATCATAAAAATATATGTGGTCTAGAGATATATTTTGGTTTTGATTTTCAAAGAAGATTCTAAGAACCCTCACATAGCAATGAATTCTTCAAAAAACAGTTTTTACAAACCCTGTCACAAATCCTTCCAGAGACCCCCATACTAGTGTTTGCCCTGATAAATGCCCGTTCTGTTCTTCAAGATTTACTTGTCAGGAAATCAAGACACACAGAATGAGTTATTTCAGAAGGAAATGTTCCGGGATTCTGGAAACAGATGATGCTTTCTTTCAGTCTGCTGTCATTCTTCTCCTTCACGAAGATATTGTCGTCATCACTCTGGGTTTAACTCAGCTTGACAGTAGCCGCATCTCTGTGTTGATCTTCATCTCTTCTTTTGGTAAAAGTCTGTAAATTGAGGCTCTGCTCACAGCTATTTCATACTAATCAGACGCCAGGACTAAATGAGAACCGAGAAAGGACCCGGGGTGAGATAATGTGAAGCGGACTGCCTCCCCGGCAGACATTTTATGCTCCAGACCTCATCCTCATGAATGCTGACAAGGTTTCTCTTTCACAAGCCAGAGGGGGCCATGGCTCTCACTACTTACCATAAACTACGGGTAGCATAACCCTTCACTTGCTTTTCTTATTCACTCCCAGTTTGCACTGCCACTAAAATATTCTGCTTTTCAGCTGCCATTATGAGCGTCTAAATCATCCCTCGTCGAAGGCACTGGCTTTCTTAGGACAGAAACCACAGACTCAGCAGCCAGGATGTCATCAGCACGCTCAAGATGACATCATCTCCTTCTGCCAACCTTAATACCACTATGGTAACCATCAACAGCAATACCCATGATTATTTCAGCAGAAATATTGAACAGATGTGACAGCCTTGTCAAACTCCTTTGCTGGTGTCCAACCACTCTGTTATACCTTTTGCAATTCGAAAATATCTCTCTGGTCATACGGGAGACAGCACGCACTGACCTCCTGAGTGGGCAACCGTTCCTGCAGCATCAACTGGCATATTGAATATCAAGTCCCGGCACCAAGTTACACACAGAGAGCTTCACAGCCCACTGATTATTTCTACACCCCTTCTCCTTTTTAACTCTCAAGACAGCTGAGCCTGTGGTGGTAAAACTGGACAGGGCCCTAGACTTCAGAAGCTTTGAGTTCCTGGGCACGTTACTACCTACGAACCTTGAGCAAGCCACTTTGAGCTTGTTTTCAGTAATATACTTAACTCTTTTCAACCCAATTTGAAAACCAAATGGGATGGTACATTTAAAAATAATAAATTAGGAAAACAGGTACTCAAATACTTGCTCATAGCAGCACTGTTCACAGTGGAATAATCCTAATGACCATCAACGGATGAAGAGATAAACAAAATGTGATATATGCAGGCAATGGAATATTATTCTGATGTCAAAAGGGATGAAGTATTGATACATGCCACATTGTGGACGGACCTAGAAAACATTCTGCTAAGTGAAAGAAGTCAAACATAAAAGGACACATATTGCAATGATTCCATTTATATTAAATATCCAGAATAGGTCAAACCATATAAACAAACAAACAAACAAACAAAAAACAGATTTGTGATTGCAAGTTGCTGAGGGGGGGTGGGAATAGAGAGCAGCTGTTTAATGGGTGTGGGTTTTCTTTGGGAGAGATTAAAATGTTTTGGGTCTACACAGAGGTGGTGGTTGCACAACATTGTTAAAGTACAAAATACCACTGAATTGATCACTTGAAAATTTTGTGTTATAGGAATTTTACCTAAGTTAAGAAAACAAATTATAAAGCACATGAAAACTCTAGTGAGTATATCCCAGAGACAAAACAGTCTCAGGAAGATGAAGTGACTTATGAAAGGCCAAAAAGTTAGAAAACAAAAACAAGCACATCGAAACAAAATAAAACACAGAAATCTACTCTGCGACTAAAATTCTGGTCTTCTGACAGTCCAGGGAGATCTTTATTCCATTACTGCAATCTGGTTCTGGGATGCGGGGCTCAATCCCAGGACCCCAGGATCATGACCTGAGACTAAGGAAGACGCTTAGTGCTTAACAACTGAGCCACCCAGGTGCCCCTTTAGTTGTTATTCTTAAAAAAACTGACGTGCGTAGTTAACAGAATCTAGTTAATTAATGTCTACTCTGCCTCCTAAACAAATCAAGGAACTTAGAACATTTTGACTCTGAACAATCCCCTCCTGCCTTCCATATACTTATTTCCAATATTTTAGATTCATCATATTTTTATATCCCCAATAAATTACTGTTGTTGTTTTATGTCAATTCTTTTTTAGACTCACTCAGATATTTCTCTGCTTCCCATTCTGTCCTTCCTCTCAGTTCTTCCTGAATTCAATTTCATCTTTCGCTGAGGATCTGTGTTCACTTGAACACATTTTCATTTTTCCCTCCCTCTTCTACGATAATTTAACTGTATACACAGCTCTTGATGGCAATTAGTTTCTCTTGGCACTTTGAAGATTATTCATTGTCTCATGGGTCTTATTGTTGTTGCAAAGAAGTCAGTGACAGTCAAAATGTAGTTTCTTTTTAGATTACCTCTCTTTTTGTCCTCTGAATGCATTGAAGATTTTTCTTTTTGCCTTTGGTATTTTGCAGTTTTATTACAATGTGTTTAGATGCAAACATGTTTTTTACACCTCCTGTTTGAGATGTATTGTACCTCTTTAATCTCAAGATTTATTTCTTTTATTAATTCTGTAAAATTATGTCCATTAGCCCCTCAAATATTGTCTCTTCCCCAGTTGCTTTATTGTCTCCTTAGGAAAATCCTATTAGATACATTTTTTACTTTTCTAAACTCCATGTCTTTAAGTCTTTAAAAATATTATCCATTTTTTTATCTCTTCATGCTGCATTCCAGATAAATTTTCAGTTCACTAATGTCTTTTCAGCTTATCTAATCTGCTATATAGCCTGTTCACTGAGTATATAATTTTAAAAGTTACATTTTTCATTACTAAAAGTTCAAATTTTTTCAAATTGTTCTTTTCTATTTTCATGCTGTCTTGCTCTTTTCTTATTTCTATTCCTTCCTTTATGTCATCAATATTTTTTTAAATTCCAGTATACTTAACATACAGTGTTATATTAGTTTTAGGTGTACAATATAGCGATTCAACAATTCTATACATTACTCAGTGCTCATCAAGATGAATGTACTCTTAATGCCCTTCACCTATTTCACCCATTCCCTCTACCCACCTGCCCTCTAGTAAGCAACAGTTTGTTCTCTATAGTTAAGAGTCTGTTTTTATGGTTTGTCTCTTTTTTTCTTTGTTCCTTAAATTCCACATATGAGTGAAATCATTTGGTATTTGTCTTTCTCTGACTGAATTATTTCACTTAACAGTATACTCTTAGATCCATCCATGTTGTTGCAGATGGCAAGATTTCATTCTTTTCTATGGCTGAGTAATATTCCACTGTGTGTGTGTGTGAATGTGTATGTGTATACCACTTCTTTATCCATTCATCAATCAATGGACACTTGGGTTGCTTCCATATATTGGCTATTGTAAACAATGTTGCAATAATCATAGGGGTGCATATGTTTTTCAATTAGTGTTTTTGTATTCTTTGGGTAAATACCCAGTAGTGGAATTACAGGACCATATGGTATATGCATATACTGATTTGTCAGCAGTGAATAACTTCATGTTATACTAGGCATCTTAAGTTTTGAAAATAATAATGGTAGTATAATTCTTCAATGAAAATAGCAGAGGGCACCTGGGTGGCTCAATTGTTAAGCAACTGCCTTCGGCTCAGGTCATGGTCCCAGGGTCCTGGGATCGAGCCCCGCATTGGACTCCCTGCTCCGCAGGAAGCCCGCTTCTCCCTCTCCCACTCCCCCTGCTTGTGTTCCCTCTCTCGCTGTGTCTCTCTCTGTCAAATAAATAAAAAATCTTAAAAAAAAATAGAGAAAAAGGAATCAGGAACATAAACATTAATCAAACACTAAAAATAATTTTGATACAGGGCAGAGAATTAGCCAATATGGTTATTTCCCTCGGTTCCACCATTAGCTTATTGCATAACCCAAGACAAGCTTTCATGTTTGTTTTTTTTTTCATGGCTATCTGTCCATCTGTAACTTGTAGCTTGGCCAATGATCATCCATGATCTAGAGAGAGCCTCTAAGGCCACAGGGTTCCATGTCCTCATCAATAGCAGGACTAAGTGGTACTACCTGGTCAAGGTATCTCCATATCTAAACCCCATGGTTCTAAATCCTGGGTAAGAGACACTCCAGAAAACACAAGTACTTTTTTTTTAGAATGTCAGTGTAAGTCAAGTGGGGATATTTTATGTGGAACCACTTTATTTATTCACAAGTATATTAATAGCTACAAATACGACCACATACAAAGATTTGATGGCAATAAATAATATAGGAGCATGGAACAAGGAATTGGAAAACCTAGGCCCTGATCAAACAAGCCCTCTAAAAAGTTTAGATTTAGCCTCCAATAAAAAGCTAACACCAAAATGTATTCTATCCCTACTCAGTAAATATCATCTTCAAACCTCCCATGCTGTGAGAATTGTATATCTTGTTCTGTGAATGATATATTCCATATCAAGCCCAAGATCTTCTTGCCTTCAAAGCACTCTAAACTGCACTCACTCTGCATTTCTCACTTTTCTTACAGGTATTGGTGACAAGACCTCAAAAGGATATTAACTATAAGATAAATATCTATGAACCCAGATTGGCATAAATAAATGACTGAATAAATAAGTAAATGGGAGAGACAAATTTCCTTACAGAAGAATTCCAAATAGTTTATATAGATACTCCTCCCTAGGAGTGTGGGCTGGACTTAGTGACTTGTTTCCAAAGAATAGAGTATGGAAAGTGTCGGGGAGGGACTTTACAGAGGTCTGGCAAACACCACCTCAGCCAAGTGATTGAGGTTAATATCTCCAGTGTTAGTCATGGTGATAGCATGTATTTCCTGATATGATGTGATGGAAATTTCTCCTCTATGACATCCTGTCTCCAAACTCCAGTCTAATCATGATAAAAACATCAGACAAACCCAAACCGAAGGACATTCTACAAAATATCTAACCAGTACCCTTCAAAACTCTCAAGGTTGAAAAACAACAGAAGACTGAGAGACTGTTATATACCAGAGGAAACTAAGGAGACATGATCACTTAACACAATGTGGAATCCTGGAAGGGATCCTGGAATGAAAAAGGGACATTAGTGGAAAAGCTAGTGAAATCCAAATACAGCCTGGAGTTTATAAATAATATTGTACTAATGTTGGTTTCTTAGTTTTGGCAAATGTACCTTGAGTATGCAAGATGTTACTGTTGGGGAAAGGGGATGATGGGAACTCTCTGTATTATGTTTGTAGCTTTTCTTTAAATCTAAGTTTATCCAAAATAAATTTATCCAAAACCCAAAAGAATTGAAAACAGATAACTCAAACAAATACTTATACCTGAATGTTCATAAAAGCAGTATTCATAATAGCCAAAAGGTAGAAACAACACAAGTGTCCATCAGTGGATGAATGGGTAAACAAATTGTGGCATGTGCATACAATAGAATATTATTCAGCCGCAAAAGGAATGAAATACTGATGCTACACCATGGAAGAACCTAAATAACATTATGCTAAATAAAAGGAGCCAGACACTAAAGGTCACATATTTTATGATTACAATTATATGAAATATCCAGAATAGGTCAATCCATAGAGACAGAAACCAGATTGGTGGTTACCAGGGGCTGGGAATATGTGGAAAGGGGAGTAACTGCTTAATGGATGTTGGTTTTCTTTTGGGGAAATGAAAATGTTTTGGAACGAGAGAGGTAGTGATTGTACAACAGTGTAATTGTACTAAATGACACTGAATTGCTCACTTTAAAATGGTTAATTTTATATTATGTCAGCTTCACCTCAATAATAAAAAGGAAATATAATCTAAGTGTTGAGTTTGATGAGAGTCTCAGCTAAGAGACAGAGTAAGGGAAAACAGATCTAGAGTAACAGATGGACCAACCATCCTCCAGAAGAATCCTTAGCAGGAAACTATAAAAAATGAGTAGGACCTAGGAATCTTCAGACAGGAAATGAAGAAGCTGTCATCTAGAAAAAGCGATATCAAAGAACTTAAGACTGTATTTCTAGGAAATGTTATGCAGATTTTAGTATCAAAAGAAAACTCTTATTTAGGGACGCCTGGGTGGCTCAGCTAGGCGTCTGCCTTCTGCTGAGGTCATGATCTCAGCGTCCTAGGACTGAGTCCCACGTCGGGCTCCTTTCTCAGCAGGGAGCCTGCTTCTCCCTCTGCCTGCCGCTCCCCCTGCTTGTGCTCTCTCTCTCTCCCTTGCGTGCTCTCTCTCTCTGACAAATAAATAAATAAAATCTTAAAAAAAAAAAAACACCTTTAAGTCAGGAGCAATTCTTCATTTTTAATGCTCTTCAACTTTTCTCATAATATATTTTTACAATGATCAAGAACAGGGTTCTCCACATCTAGAAGATAAACTCCACAACGGAGATCATATCTATCTTTTTTGCACTGAATCCTTAGAGCCTAGCACAATGCCTGTACATCCTGGTAGGCCATCAGTAAAAATTGGTTGAATTTATGAATTTTGAAAATATGGGATATACTTTTGGTAAAAATTAGTAATAAAAGATTTTGTTTTGTTTTATTTTTTTTACAAATGTTGCCACTATAATAATTAATGTGATACTGTTACTGTGTATTATTGTTCATCAGTATACATATTTTTAAATCTTAATGAACTCTTCTGCTGTAATGGCAAGTTTCTGATAAGAGTTTAAAAGACTATCATGAACTAACCTGTATGCTTTATTTAACTAAGTATGGCCAAAATAACTTGTTTTAAACTCATTCATTCATACAGTTGAAATCCCCAATCCTTTGTCAGCAACCCTATGTCTTTGTCCATATTTACTGATACAGTAGCTAGAATTTTTTTTAAAAGATTTTATTTATTTGAGAGAGAGAGAACACGCACTCACAAGGGGGGGGGTGGGGGCAGAGAGAGAGGGAGAAGCAAGCTCCCCACTGAGCAGGGAACCTGATGCGGGGCTTGATCTCAGGACCCTGGGATCATGACCTGAGCCAAAGGCAGACCCTTAGCTAACTGAGCCACCCAGGCACCCCAGTAGCTAGAATTTTTTAAAAGATTTTATTTATTTATTTGAGAGACAGAGTAAGAGTGAGGAGAGAGAAGCAGACTCCCGGCTGCACAGGTTGGCTGACACAGGGCTCCATCCCAGGACCCCGACATGATGACCTGAGTCGAAGGCAGACACTTAACCATCTGAGCCACTCAGGCGCCCCCCCCTCCCTAGTAGATAGAATTTTTAAACATAGACTCCTTGAGGTAAAAATGAGGCTAGAGAACTATCTGGATCTTGAGGAATTCATTTTTTAATATTATAATTCTACTTATAATCATTTATGTGACAGTGATTATGAACAACCAGTCATTCCCATCAGTGATTTATAGAGTAACACTGCATCTAGAGGAGATAGGTTAAGCTAACCCGTGAAGTTTAAAAGTTAAAATATATAAAGGCCCAAGCTTTCCTTTATGTAAGAGCATTTTGTAGAATAATGATGTACTGAAAGGGCAGGCTCTTCAGACCAACTGCTGGAGTTTATTTCTCTCCTTCATCCATCACTGTGTGATCTCTGGTGAGAGACTGATTGCTTTAGGCTCATGTCCTCAGCTGTCAAGAAGGGTGACAACAGTACCGACCCGACAGGCTGCTTATGAGGACTGCTTGAGCTGATTTACCTAAGGCTTCCAGAACAGGACCATCAACTCATCTCAGCCATTATTATTACGATCACCAACATTACTATGTAATATTGTGATCATAAAATGAAAAAGAGGCCTTTTAAAACTATTTCCTCAAAGAACAAAGATTTTCCTCAGAAACAGGTAAGTTGCAAAATGCTGTTATATTTTTGTACAAAAGATCTCCTGGCAGGCTTATGGCATATTTTCTATAAGCAATAGTATTGAGGATTTGAAGAAGGAAGAGGAGTCGATGCAAAAAGGAAAACTATAATGGTGGAGGAGACATACCCTTCATTTTTAAGTTTCATAGCAGCCAAGTATCTCAGCCCCAGTAATTAACCCAAAGGATATACGTTTTAAAACATCACCCAAATATTATTCCATTTAGAATTTTCAAAATATAAGTTTGGGGGCCACAGAACATACTGGTTTCTTTCTGAGATACATGAAACATTAATTCCTAAATTACATGATTTATTTTAAGATTAATTTTAATAATTTAAAACATTCTCAGTAACATGAGTTTATAGAAACAGCAGTTCATAAATAAATACAAGTCAGGAAAACAGTCACAGATGATTCTACAGAAATAATTGTGCTATAAGGTGTGAGTGCCTTTGGAAGAATAATCTGAAAAAACTCCTTTTCGCTGGAGAGAGGAAATTTGCTGTCTAAGTGAGATCTAGAACTGGAAACCGGTCGGCAAGTTCCCTTTCCACAGGTCCACCATTTGTCATGCAGCCCAAGACAAAGCTCTCAATTTCATTATGGTTCTGTATCCCTGTCTCTATCTAAATATTTGCCACATATCCCCATTAACAGAGATGCTGTGAGGATTCAAGAGATAATGTTAGTTAAGAACCCCGACATGCACATAAACACAAAACCTTATCCCTGGTAAATATGATGGTTACCCTGGCAGGCTCTGTTAAAGATGTTTGGTGCTGGCCTATGGCAACGGTAAGAAGGATAAGCCAAGCGAGCAGCTCCAACATGACCTTGGACCAGATTTGGGAGCGGCCAGAGTGAGGTGGGCAAGGCCAAGGGGTGGCCCTGTACTTGGGGTGCCTGAGCATCTCTGATGAGAATGAAACTCTAAGGTTGCCTCTGTCTCCAGGTGCCGGGACAGTTGGAGGTCGGTACAAGGAAGATTCGTTCAGCACTGGACAGCTCTCAGCCCAATGGCGTCCACCTGGGAGGGAAGAATGTCCTTCTTTCTCCCAACCTTTCCCAGGAGAAACTGAAGACTGTCAACAATGGCCTTTGTTCACTCTTCCAGAAAAGCAAAACCGAAAATAAATTAAGCACTTCAAACCCTTCTTAATTACTGAAAATAACAAAAACAGCAATGGAGATTTTTCACCCACATGGAAAGCATTTAAAAGCAATGACTTTTTTTTTTTTTTATTTAAATGTGCTCCTCCAGTACTGTGCATGGAAAAAGGAAAACTTCATTTTCTGTCTTTGCCTTTTGGTTTTATAGGGACAAAATGCAGAATAAACTTCCTTAATTTTCACTTCAGTGTTTGCAGCTTAGGATTCCATTAATATATCCTTTCCCTCGGTTGTGCAGGGTCCTCGTTTGCAGTCAGTTCATTCCACACTGATGTATATTTCATTGCCCACGGCTTAATTTTGATTTATTGTCCATCCATAAATTAGAAAAATATGCTCTGGAATTCCATCCCGCTGAAAAGCTGTGCCTGATGTCAGGGGACTGGGTGATATTTAAGATGTCAGAAATACATATTGGATTAGTGTGCTTTGTTTCCCCACAACAGCAGGTGTTTAATCATAGCTGATGGCTGAAGTTAAATGCATTAGGACAGCTGCAGCCAAGAAGATGGAGTTTTTCTAAACCATACAAACTCCAGGATAAATAACTCAAAACTAATTGTGTGTCCACATCTTAGATACATTTTTATTTACTTAATGCATTAAACAATGAAAATAGCCTCTGGCACTTAACTTCATGTTTAAGAGTCTGTACAAATATTTTATATTAGTGAAGTGTTGGCTGTTTAAGCATAATTACTATTTCCCTTTCTGGCCCTCTGGCGGATTTATGTAAAATATTTCTTAAAACAGGAAAGAATAAAGTCTGAAATCTCTCAGGAATTCAAGAATAAGAAATTTTTAGGGTTTGCTTTTTCTTCTTAATATAATTTGAATGCTTATATCTGTCTACATGCATGCCCATTTTGCCATTATCCAAGTGATGCTCAACATACCTACCAACGGGGCATTTTCCCTTCTTCTCTTTGTAAAGTACAGGATCTCTTTGCCATTATGTTTATATTAATTAGAGTTCTATGTGTATAGAAAAATGATCAGGCTTGGTCTGGAGCAATTTAACTGGAGGCTGGAGAGGAGACGCTTAGGAGAGCAAACATTTTCAAGGTGCAACCAGTGACCTGTAACAAGCCAGAGAGATTCATGGCGAGAATCGTATATTTTGACACAACAGTGATTTGATTAAAAGAGAAAGTAATGGGTTTAAACAGTCACTATGAGGATGTAGCCAGACTTTGGTAGCTTTTTGCAATTTACTTTACAGACCAGTGATAGAGCGGGAGAGAGAACCTTTGCAGCTGGAAAAGGCCGCTCGGATTTGGGAACAAACATAAACAAAAATTGAGTGGTTGAAACTAGTTTCTCCCCTATCCTTTTTTTTTTTCCTTTAAAACACACATCCATAGTGAAGGCAGGATAATACCAAGGAAAAGAATATTGAGGTCACTTTGAGAATGGAAATAGAACTGGATTTAATTTTCTTGGATATTTTTAAAAGAATTAATTTTGGAATCAGACTCAACTGAATCAGTCTGAAAAGAAAAGGAAAAAAACGAAAGTCTCTGCATCTTGAGAAAAATTAAAATCTGTAATAGAAAGAGTAATTTATTTCACTTAGATAAGCAGTATATCCCCAAGAATAGCTAACATACCTAAGTTCAATGTAGCATCAAATTTAATTCTAATATAATACTTGAGAATAGTGCAGCGTGGTTTGAATTACATAGCTTTAAAAAGAGGATTAATGAAACCTTGTTCACTAAAAAGTGCGAGTCACAAAACATTCTAATAGTATGATCTTATTAACATAAGAATACAAGAAAAAGCAAAATGAAAGACATTCTATCGTATATGTGTGCATATGTCCAAGAATAATTATATCACCACAGAAGAGGGTCTGAAAGCAAACTGAGAACAGTAGTTGTCCCTGAGAAGGAGATTTTAACTTTTTACTCTATATACGTTTGTGTTGTGTGATTTTTATTTGTACTGATAACATCTTAAGATATAACTTGTATAAATTAATTTTTAAAGAATCTCAGTAAAGCTCTGTTTTTAAGGAAAAAAAAGAGGGCTAGTCCCTATTTTGATTACATATATTCTGCCTGAATAAACATCAGTTGTGATTATCATTGTGGTAACTATGTGTTAAATGAAACAGTCAATGAATGTTGTTACAAGGTAAATCATTTGAAGAAAAAGTTTTAAAAATTACAGTTCCAGGGGAGATGGGTGGGGGATGGGCTAGATGGGTGATGAGTATTAAAGAGGGCACCTGCTGCCATGAGCACTGGGCATTATATGTAAGTGATGATTTGCCAAATTCTCCTGAAACCAATATTAAACTATATGTTAACCGACTAGAACTTGAATAAAAACTTTTAAAAGATAAAAAAAATAATTAAAAAAAATACAGTCCTGGAGCACCATGCTGGCTCAGTCGCTCGTAGAGCTTAAGGCTCTTGATCTTGGGGTTGTGAGTTCTAGCCCCATATGTTGGGGATAGAGATTACTTAAAAATAAACTCTTAAAAAAAAAAAGAAATTACATTCTCAATGAGCTGTTCACATGGAGCCACCTCACTGGTACCTCCATGCTCTCTCTGGAAGCTCCTTTGTGCCCCACCCTCAGCCTCATTGACCATTGGTAAGGTGACTGCCTCGACCACTAAGCATCTATTACACTAGGCAATTCATTTTCCAAAAAACAATACAAAAAAAAGGTACTAACACTGCTCTTTGTCCCAGAATTTTTAATAATAATATTTCTTTGGCAAAATTTTACATTTTTCACAAGTCTGATATTTAAAGTGATATTGTTGGTGTTTTTGGTTTTATTTTTTTTTTAAAGAAGGTTGTAAAATGCATTTCTCATTTATTACAATCATTTCCATACCCTTTACTATCTTTTCCTGTTTTGCAACTGATATCCCGAAGTTCTTCAACTATTTTAACTCAATGAGTGTCACATTCTTGGAAAAAATAGATATGGGGCATTAAGACTCTCACTCCAAACTGCATCATATTCTTTCTTATATTTTTAGTCTGAGTGTTGTAGGTCAGCCCCCCTCCCCAAGAAAGAGGCTCTGAGATGAAGATTTCTGGCAGGAAGCTTACTGGAGGGTGCTCTTAGAGTCCCACTGATGGGAGAGAAAAGGAACCAGGAATGGAGGGGAGGAGAAGGGAAGGGGCTACTCCATCACCACAGAGGCCTCAGCTGACCCACAGGGAGCTCAGGGCTGGGTGGTCCTGCAGGGTCCTTCTCCCTTTGTACCTCACCGACCAGTCATCCGATACAGGCTGACCCTAGGAGGGAGTGTAACTTTTGGGCAACTTTGGGCAAGGCAACTCCCTTTTAAAAGCAGGGGAAAATTCCTGGAAAGGAATTTGACTGGGAGCCCTCAGCAACCAACACTTCCAGCAGCTGTAGGAATAAGTGTGTTGGTCTTAAAGGGGCCCTGAGTGGTGCACCCCATATTAACCACATTGAATTTCCAAGTCTCATTATCTTTATTTTCATCTACAAAATACAATGTTCATTAAACAGTGGCTAGAGCCCCTCTCTAAAACAAAAGGAAGAAAGGAGCACTGAAGAAAAAGCGTGAGAAAACATAGTTCCAGGGCATTTTTGGTAAATGAGGCTCAAAGTAGAAGGGTGAAAAACACTCCATTGTCACGGAAGCAGCAAAGCAGGGAAAGAAAATGATATAATGAGTGCCTCTGAGATTTTGTTGCCAAATTTTCTTGATTCTCTCATTCTGCAGGACTATTTTTCTGCTTTGTTTCTTGTATTTGTATCAGAAATAATTAACAACACATCTTATGAATGGGTCTATAGACTATTAACTAGAATTTTCTATTATGCATGCAGTAGAATGGCTCATATATACATTACATCAAATACCTGATATTTTGGTCTGAAAGACAAAAGTGAAGAACATCGGGCACCCATGACTGTCTCCCTGGTTTTCTGTTTCAAAGACACCTGGTTCTAAGAGAAGCTGGTGCAAAGTGGATTTGCAGAGCAAATGGGGCAAGTGGGCCTTCTCAAATGCTCAGGGACCAAGGAGGACACCTCTGGACTGGGAAGAGCGTTGTCGACTTGTCCTCAACATACGGCAACTTGAACTTGACTCTGCCTTAGCAGCCTGGAAATGGAATGGGCATATTTTGAAGCAAATGACATTAATTAAGTTTAGGTACGTGGGAACGAGAAAATATAAATGTTTTAAAGAGCTTGTTCACAGGAATGCTTATTCAACCTCTGGTAGCCTAAGTAGAAAACATGTCTGAAAAAGAAAAAGCTTGACATATTATGTTTTCCTAATACATCACACAGAAAATAAGATTCCACAAGCGTTATCCAAATAGTAGTCCTCCTCCAGATACAGTCTTTAAGGAAATCCAAATCCTGCTTGATCTAACACATAAGAAAATGAAGATACTCAAAGTAAATATCTGTTTCTAAACTTCTCCACAATATTTCTTAAAAGATTTATTTATTTATTTTACAGAGAGAGAGCATGTGTGAGAGAGTACACAAGTGGGGGGAGGGGCAGAGAGAGAGAATCTCAAGCAGACTCCCTGCTGAGCCCGGAGTCCTACACCCATGAGATCCCACAACCCATGAGATCATGACCTGAGTCGAAACAAAGAGTCTGATGCTCAACTGACTGAGCCACCCAGGTGCCTCTAAACATCTCCAATATTAACACTCTTAACACATGTGTTTGTATTCATATAGAAAGTTTGATAGGGGCAAAAGATAGGCATATACTGAGTGGCAAAAATAGGGGAGCTAACTGTCTACAATCCTTGCAAGATCTAGGATTATTAAGCACCCAACCTATATTAGCTATTACAATTATTATTAGGATCTCTCACTCCTGGACTTCAAATTTGACCCTTCGTTACTGGTTCCTTTAAAGTTTAACCCTTGAAGATAGTTTGTATGGTAAAAATAAAAGTGGAAGTAAACAAGGAGAGATAGGAGACAAATAGGGAAATACATGAGACAACAACAATAAACTATGACAATGGAATGTCCTAATAATAATAGTAATAGCTAATATAGGTTGGGTGCTTTCTGAGATTTCCTTCTCAGAGGTCTACATATGTTACCTTAATAATCAGAGCAATAACCCTAAGAAGTTGAACTGTTGGGGCACCTGGGTGGCTCAGTCATTAAGCGTCTGCCTTCAGCTCAGGTTATGATCCCAGGGTCCTGGGATCGAGCCCCGCATCAGGCTCCCTGCTCCATGGGAAGCCTGCTTCTCCCTCTCCCACTCCCCCTGCTTGTGTTCCCTCTCTCGCTGTGTCTCTCTCTGTCAAATAAATAAATAAAATCTTAAAAAAAAAAAAAAAGAAGAACTGTCATCTCCTCTACTTCTACAGATGAGGAAATTGAGGCTTGGAGAGGCTAAATATCTACGCAGCATGGATAGGAGGTGGTACCAATGAAACCATAGCTCAAGAAGGCCGCTTACGCATCTGTGTAAGACCCTATCTGTCTAGACTTCTGAAGGTTAGGGCTGCCAGAGACCTTCAAGATCCAGAGACCATCCTGCCCAAACCTCTCCCACTGCAGGCAAGGAAACTGAGGCCCAGAGCAAAGGACAGTGTAGCTCTACATCGCTTCTGTGTTCATGTACGTTATCTCCCAGAAAGATATGTAATTACATGATAAATGATACTGTGGTTTGCAATATTTCTATTTGCTCTGGTAATAAATCATCAGGACATTGAAAGGTCCTGGATTATCTGACCAGACCCACAGTCTTTACTTTCATGTGGATTGCAGAACTAAGCACACTGACCTAACTCGCCAGAATTTTTGGATCCTCGGATTCCCTTCAAGAGTGTTTCTGAGCATCAGCTGAATCAGAGCCCGATTTTTCCTGGGGTTTTGATGCTATTATACGCTGGGACAATGAGAGCAGCCACGGCTATATGGAACTGAGAAGATTCAGTAATGCTATAAAGTCTGGGATTGATTTTCGGGAAGATCCTTGGAATCCCTATGGGCCGCAGCACCAATGTGGCCCTTGTTAGTCTTACATTCATGAGCTTAGAGCTGTCTGAGAGCAGGGACTCAGTTTAAGGATGAGGACACCCTTAACAACCTTGGCTGACCATTTTTATTTCAGGAGAAGGGAACAGTTAAAGACTTAGCATTTCCTCAGTTGTGGAACTGGGTTGTCCCTATACCCTACTTGATATTACAAAGAATGTACTTTAAGCCAATAATCTCTGAGCTTGACAAGGATCACTCTCTTATCAGAAAATGTAAGTGGCTGGCCAGTTTCCATTCAAAGGCTAAAAAGCATCTGCATATACTAAACAAGATCAGGTTTTCCTTATACCTCGCTTATAAGGAATTCTTAGCTACTCCAAAGAATCATCATGTATTGATTCAGCAAACACTTATTCAGCCTAGGCTGGAGGAATTTACTTCAGTAACTGAATTATAGTCACCCAGTGGTTTGGTGATAGACTCTGTACTACAATTTAAGTATTTTGAGTCCAACATTTTATATCCTAAAAATACGCCAAACTGATCTCTTAGGCTTCATTGTTTTGGGATCATTCCCTCTTGCTAAGTTTTCAAGTGTCTGCCCTCTGTTCCCAGAACACCGTGTGCTTTGTTCAGGGACAAGTCATTGGGAGATGTCACACTGTCCTTCCTGCTTTGGAAAAGCCCCAGATCTCTCTGCTCACCTTCTCTTGTCTTCTTAAATGAGAACTAAAGCTTGGGATCTTGTGATGTCATTTTACGTTGCTCAAATTCGTATGTTCTTAAATAGACACTTAAATAGACACTTTTTACAGGGTAAAACAACCCAGCGCTGTGAAAATAGGCCACCCTGTGTTTGGTTAACCTCTCTGAGCATTTCTCATCTCTAAAATGGAAATAATGATTCCTACCTCGTAGGATGGTTGTAAAGCCTAATGATACAAGTATACACTGTTTGGCATATACTAGATGCCCAATAACTGGTAGCCACCATCACTGTCAATTTTCTAAAAGATAAGGATTATTCCAATGAAGATGTTCTATATAGTACTCAGCATAAGAGGACAGAAAAGCAGGTACCAATGGTAAATCAAACTTTAGCTCAGCCTTCCTCAGGCTGTGGACAAATACCCAAGGGTAGACACTCCACCTGGGTCCCCAGAAAAGGTCCAACTAGTCCAGAGGTGGTAACATCATGGGAAGAGAAAGAGAAGTAAGGAACTTCAGATGAGGAGGTGATTTCCCCCACTGTCCCAGCACACTTGGCCCAATGCCCTCCAAAACAAGAGATGAATCAAGATGGCCTCTCTACCACCTCTCTCAGCCTCCTCGCCCTGCTTTCCAGCAGAACCAACAAAGCTACAGACCAAAGTGCTCTAAATTACAACTTCAGGATCTTCCAAGCCAGCAGCTCAAGAACTGGTCACCCTTTTCCACTTGTGATTTAAGCACATGTATAAGGATTTTTTTTTTTTTAAGTGAGCTACTAAATGAATCTGATAGTCCTACCTCACTACTACAGTGATAATATTTTTCAAAGGCCTGCAAAGGTTTTAGCTTGTCAGCCCACTTAGGTAAAGCTATGTTGAAGACTCTCTGTTGCCTGTTTTTACTCACTTTACCTAAGAATAAATACAAGCTAACACCCATTTCTAATAGGAAACTAGAAAACACATGTGGAAAACAGCGTGCAATATGTAAAGACCGGCACAAAAACTAGAAGATACAGAAGGGAACATGGAACATGAAAACAACTATGTTAGAATGGTACAGATGTGGGAAATTTCTTTCTTCTAAAAATTATTTTTATTTGGAATAATATTATTTCTAGGATTAACAAAATTCCCACATTGAGAGTAGGGAACACCAATCTTCTAAGGGATTCTTAAAATTAATGTCAAACTTTCCTAACAAAAAAGAAAACAAACGAAGACACACACATTTTAAAGTCCACTGTCTTCTTTCTTCAGCTCTAAATACACGGTGATATATACACTTACATATGCAGCTGTTAATGCAGTCATTAGAAAAACCTAACATTTATATGGTGTTATTACTAATGGTGCAGCATTGGCAAGAGAGGCCTCTCTCTGTTTTTCTTTTTGTAATAATTAATTCTGATATTTTGACTTACAAATCACACAAAATTAGAAGGGAAAGCTTATAGATTCAAAAACAAAATTGGTATCCAAGAACTCTAGACAGGCTGGAAAGAAGGATCGGCTCCAACAAGAAAGCATTTAACAGATATTAATGTAATATCCTACAGTTGGATACAAAAAATTAACTGCTAAAGTACAGAGGCGAAACATCTTAGCAAGAACAAGGGGACTAGATTGAGGGCTTTTATCGTCCACAACTTCAGTAGAAGTGAACAACGCCCTAAAGCTGCTCTAAAAGCTAAAGTAATTTTAGGTCCACTTTCAGAACAAGGAAGGCAAAAAAAAAAAAAAAAAAGAAAGAAAGAAAGAAAGAACAAGGAAGGCAACGAGTCTCCTACAGAGTACCCAAATGAAACCAAAACCGGGATACAGTTTTTAGAAACTTGGATGAGCTGTCACTAAAGGATTTCCCCCGAGGGTCCGGGCAAAGTTCTTCCCAACTCTATGATTCTACATCTCTCAATTCCCACTGTAGACCAAGGGTTCATAATCCAGAATACATGGATTCTATCCAGAGTTGTGAACGGGTTTCAAGGGACCTGCAAACATTCTGGCAGCATATGCAAAATGTTCTGTTCCCTATGAAATAATAATGCAAGGCATTTAAAGACTAATAATGTTCTAGGTCAGTGTGTCTCAAGGGGGTAATGCTATTGTCCAAAAGACAATGCATTGCACCCACAGAATTGTCTCATCCCTCCACTGGCTGAACGATTTCAGATGTTTAAGACTTGGACGTTTAGACACACGTAGGTGAGAAAGCCTTTGGTTACGATCTTCAACTCCACTCTACGTATAAACACCAGGTGTTTTCACATAGTTTTAACATACACTTAGTTTTCCACAGATACAACTACTATGTACACTGTTTTGTCTGCCACTTTACCAAGCATCATTCACCGCTTTGGAAAATCAGGTTATTGACAAGAGTGCAGCTGGCGGGTTTGGAGTTTCCTCAAAATACCTCCGTCAG